TCTTGCAAGCCAGAGGGCACCGTGCACCGTGCAGGCGGTCAGAGGTTTCAGGGTCCAGACGGCAACAAGCACGATCCTTTGTCCCTGGAGCCCATCCTCCCAGAAGCCAGTGCTGCTGCCCGCCCCTCCCAGGACTCCAGGGCCTGAACAGGAGGGTCCCACCTGTCCTTGTGCAGGCTGGCACCAGGAAACCAACTCAAGAGGTTCTCAGGGGCGGCCTTCCTGGCCCAGGGGTCGGCGTGCAACTCCAGCCCAGGCCCCCTTCCTGCCACCCTCAGCGACAGGCCTTCCCCCTCCCACATCATGTGGTCCCTGTGTCCCAGGAGGACAGCGGGGAGGTTGCTCAGTCACTCCTCTTGCTGTGGCCAGCGGGATGACCAAGTATGGTCACCTGCCAGGGTCTGCAGAGCCAGCAGTGCCAGGAAGGAGCAAAGCCCCCCTGGCCCTTCCCTGGCCGCAGCCTCTCCTGTCCAGGGATGTGCCCGTGGCCTGACAGGGAACACAGCTCTCACGGCCCTGGGCTGGGAGAAGGGTGGTCACGATAGGCAGGGCCCCTTCTCATACCTCATCCTCTAGTGCTGAGAGCCATTGTCAAGTAGGAATGACGCATGGCAATGTCTTTGTCAGCCTACTCTGTGTTGCTTAGAGGAAGGACTCTCCATTGTGGAAATGGGCTTGCCTTGGACCCAGGTCATTTGCAGTGACATTGCATGTATGCTTGAGTAAGGTGACCTTGTTCAAGGACCAGGGCGGATCCGGGTTTAGGGCAGATCAGGTTTTAGGGAGTATCCTGCTCCTTGGGTTTAGGGCGGTTCCAGGTTTAAGGTGTACCCTGCTGGGAATAGGGCGTATCCTGCTGCCTCAGGCACGCCCACTCCTTGAGTTCCCGTTGAGTTCTCTCGGGATTCAGAGAGTATTTGGGATTCAGAACATGGATTTTGCCCAGAACGTGGATTTCCCCAGAACGTGTGTAGAGGGCCGGTGTGAGTTCAGGAATAAAGAATTGCTGCTTGAATCTACAAGGCTGTGAGTGGCTCGTGATTTTGTGCCCAGCCAGACTGCGGCACTCCAGGACGGCAACGTCAGGGGCCCCTGATAGGAAAGTGACCACAACACTCGGAGCAACCAAAAGATCTTTATTGCAGCAGTGCAACAAAGAGAAAAGAAAGAAGGAAAGAGAGAGAAAAGAGAAGAGATAAAGAGGGAGAGCAAGAGCAAGAGACAGACAGAGAGCGCGCGCAAGAAAGATAAAGAGCAAGAGAGAGAGAGAGAGAGAAAGAGCAAGAGAGAAAGAGCAAGAGCAAGAGAGAGACAGAGAGCGCGCGCAAGAAAGATAAAGAGAGCAAGAGAGAGAGAGAGCAAGAGAGAGAGAGAGCAAGAGAGAGGGGGGCCTGGCAGGAGGGAGTTTTTATAGCCCAAATCTAATGGGGCCTCTGGGTCTGCAAGCTGCCTTGTTGGCCCAAGGGGGGTTGAGTGCTCAGCCTTGAGCGGGACTTGACACAAACAGGTGATAAAGGACCAGATAGAGGGGGGTTTGAGTGCGTGGGCTATCTAGCAGCCAACATCTGTTCAGCCTGCCCTGCAGACAACACCCCTAGGTTCCCGGATCAGGCCGCAGCGAGTGGCTGCCCAGCGTGTGGGGAGAGGCGCTCAGCTGGGAGGGGAGCAGCGAAGGGGCTGGGCTGGGGAACTTGGGGACAGCACTGGGGAGAGCAATGCTTGATCCTGGGAGTAGCTGGGGGCATGGAATGGGATATGGGGGGTCACCCTCTGGGACAGGAGGATCTGTGTGGTCCTCCAGGAGCCCCTGGTGGATCTGGGGGACAAATGGGGGTCAAAGTCCCTCTTAGCAGGCCTGAGGAAGGATCTGTGACCCTGGGGAAGGGCTGTCAAATGATGGGAATTCCCAGCATCTCTGTTCCCCTAAACTGTCCCCCACCACAGTCTCTCTGCCTGGACCTCCAGGGCAGGTCAGGGCTCAAGGGTCACTGTAATTGCTCAGGAGTGGCAGGAGGCAAGTTGGGCCACAGGGTGCTGGGCCCTACCTGCCATCTCCCCAGGCCTGGCCCCCACCCTGGCCCACACTGCACCTAGACGCAAGGCAGTGAAGCTGGCCGGCCATGCACCCAGGGGTGCTGTTGTCGGTGGGGACAGGCTCGCAAGAGGGGGACAAGGAGGAAGGGGCATAGATGAGGGGTGAGATCTCTGGGGCAGGGGCTCCAATGAGGGGCCACAAGCCTCACCATGGTGCCCTGACCTCCAGTGAGGAGGGGCCAGCCCCTCTTACCCCTCAGGAGTTCTCCTGCCTGTATGGGGGCAGAGCCCACCGGTTCACCTCTGACCCCTGACCACGCCCCCTCCCATCACTAGGCCTGGGCAGGGATCATCAGTCACAGGGTGTGAAGGGACCTTGTGTGTGGCCACTGCCCAGGTCACAGTCAGTCCCAAGGAGGATCCAGCACCTGAGCAGGGGCTGTGGTGGGGCTCCTGGGGAGCGTCCCAGCAGTCCTGCAAAGCTTGGGGACCTTGGTCGGGGAGACCTGGGCTTGTCTTCACTGTGGGCTCAGGGCAGGTCCACTCTTCCTGAGTGGCAGCAGTGTCCCTGTGGGCTTCCAGGGGTCCTTGGAGGAAGTCCAAGGGGCCAGCCAACCTCTTGCCCACAGGAAGGAGAGCCCGGCCCCCAGGCCTGGTCCGCCTGTGTCCATCACGCCCAGCAGCGCCCTCACATCTTCCTGAGACCCTCTCCACAGAAAGGGGGGCCCTGGAGATGGCCAGCTGCCCTGAGCTCTGGAGGGGTGGGGAGCATGCCCACCCTGTGTGCATCGCCACAGGGGCCTGGGCAAGGCCCTGGGCCAGTCGGGAGGTTGCTCAGGTCACTCAGCCTCCTGAGCCCTGCCCCAGCTGCCTCTGGCCATAAGCTGAAGCCTCACCCCACACTCAGCATCCACACGCCCCAGGCTCCCTGCTACCCACCCTGAAGCCAGGAGCAGCTGGGGTGGTGGGGCAGCTGGGGCTCCAGGCCCTCAGGAGGACTTGCTGTGGGGCCTGGCCCAGGGGAGAGGGAAGAGAGGTGGGGCGTCCTGGGGGGGACTGGAGACCCTGAAGCTGGACACCCCAGGCCCAGGCTGCTCATGGCCCCTGGCTGTGCCAGGAACGTGGACAGTGTGGAGCCCAGGGTCAGCAGGCTGGGGACTCTTGGGAGTCCCAGCAGGGGACCAAGCCTAGGTGAGGAGGCAGTCTCCTGGCTGGCCAGCTGGTGGGAGCAGGAGGGACAGAGGCTGGGCAGGTTTCTGAAGCATCTTGCTAGAGGTTCTAGTCGGGCCAAGAACAGCTAGGAAGCACCCCCAGGAGCCAGCCAGAGCCCAGGGTGGGCAGGTCCAGTTACCCTCCAGAAACACCCATCTGTGGGAAGAGAACTTGGGGCTGATGTGCCGTGGTGGTGGATGACTCTAGTAACCGGGCCGTTCTCTCTGGCCTGTCCTTTCCTAGTTATTCTTTCCCTCAATTTATTTTGAATTCCAGGACCACAAACCCGGTGGATAGCACCTGAGAGACAAAAACCGACCATGCTCTGCACCAGGCACACCCACCTTGGCCTGTTGGCTCCCCACTAGCAACCCCAGTGTTGCTACTGGTACCTGCCTTTAGACCCAGGTCTTTCCAGGGTGACATACTGAAATCAAAGTCCTTTTCCTGTCCCACCATCAACCCAGGACCGGGAGGCATCATCCTGTCACCTGGGCTTTGGTGAAGTGTGGGCAGTCTGCCCCTGGCCCCAGCCTGGGCCTGCCGGGGCTCTGTGGAGTTCAGACCAGCCCCGGGGTGGGGCATGGGCCTGCTTCCCCTCCATTAGCTCAGGCCTAGGCGGCCCCCTCCCCCTCAGGGCTCAGCAAACAGGACCCAGCCTCTGGGCTCCTCCCCTTTCCTCCATCCAAAGTCGGGGAAATAGAAACTCAGCCTCCAGCTCCTCCCCCAGCCCAGGCTCCCAGGGGACTCTTGCCAGCCTCCGCCTCCGGGGAGGGGGGGGGCAGCAGGACCCACAGTCCCAGGCGTGGGCTGCTTGCCCTAAGGGAACCAGGCCCTCCTACCAACAGCACAGTTAGGAGAATAACCACAACTAATGACACCTGGGCACAGTGGGCACTGCACACAGGAGGTGGGAGCCAGCACAAGCCTCAGACAGGAGGCCATCACTGTCCTGGGCCACTGGAGTCAGATTCTAATTCTTGACCATGGCTTTGGGTTCAAGTTCTTGGGGGACAAGCTCAGACTCCCCTGGAGGGGCACCCATCCTCCTTTCCGGTCATCCCAGGCTTTGAGGCGTTTCTACTGCCTGCACCTGAAGGCGGTGCAGCTGCTCCAGAGCGTGCTCTGGGGCAGGGCTGTGCTCTAGGCAGACCCTCCTCTGCAGGCCCCCGCCCACCCACCCAGGACTTCCGGGCACTGGGTGGGGGTCCTGGACTTGGAGCAAGGGACACTACATCCACAGGTTTCAGAGGCCTGCTGCGTGTGCTCAGGGAGACCGCCAGGCCCTCTTGGGCTCCTAGGCCTGGGCACAATCAGGGCTCGGAGACCCTGCCACTGTCCAGGAGACGTGGGACATGTCCAAGACGACAGGCAACCTGCTGCCTCACCAGCCCTAAGCCAGCTCAGCCGAGCGCAGGCCATGGCCAGGGGTAAGCTTCCTGGGGGCACCAACCTGACCCACCTTCTGTGGGGGTCTCCTGCTCCTCCATAGGCCCTGGGGACAGCAGCCCCACTCTCAGAGACCCTCAACCCAGGCTGCTGCCCAGGACTCCCCCTGGCCTTGTGGATGCAGACCCACTCAATGGACCTCACTCCAGGGCAGGGTAACGGGCAAGGCAGTGGTCACTGGTCACAGGCCTGGAGACCTCCTCCTCTACTGCCCCATGGGGCCTCCATCTAGGACTACCCCAGAGGACCTCTGCTCCTGCCTCCAGGAGGTGGACTCGGAGGGCGGCTGGAGGTGACTACCGCAGTCAAGAGGGGTGGCAACGTTTTATTGAGGCACTGAGGCAGCAGCGGGGTGCCAGTGCAGGAGCGAGGAGGGGCAGGCAGGGCTCAGCAGGACCTGGGCCGAGAGCCCATGCCTGGAAGCACTGGGAGCCCCCCGCCCCTAAAGGCTACCCCTGAAGTGAGTGCAATGTGGGTGCAGATGGTGGGGTCTGGTGAATCAGGGTTCCGGGGGCTGCTGCTGCCCTGGACTCTCCTGTCGCTCCCACAACACCACCCCAGGGACTCGCGCCTAAACATTCACAACACCCTGGTGTCTGCCACCACCCCACACTCAGTGCGCCTAGGGCTGATGGCTTAGATGTCCCTCTGGTGTCCAAAAGGCTCAGTCCTGCCCTTGGGGACCCTAAGACTTCAGGGGAACCCTCATCTCGTCCTGGTTCCTTGAGAAAGGTCACACAATTGGCTGCAGAAGTGAGGGCGGCTGGCCCCACATGGGGTAGGGGCTGTGCAGGGGTAGGTGCAGGGGGTGGTTCTGGCCCAAGGTGGGGGGATCAGGCACGCCAAGGAGCTGGAGGCTCCAATAGCCTCCTGTGATCTGCGAGGGATGGGGCTTTTCTTCCTGAGCTGGGGGACATGGGGGACTCAGGTCCAGGAGGTCAGGGGCCCAGTCTCAGCAGAACAGAGAGCAAGCTGAGCAGGAGCCCGAGGCCCAGCAGTGTGGTGCTGGCCCGCGGTCCCCCGCCAGCGGCACTGAAATTGCACAGGAAGTTCTGGCAGCAGTGGGTGCCCACAGACGCCACGCCGAGATTGACGCTAGGACCAGGGCAGATGGGGGAGCAGCCCTTGTTCAGGGTGTGTCCAAAGTCCACGACATTCCCTGCAGGAAAACCAGACTGTGAGGGGTCGCACTGGCCATGGGAGACAGCCAAGGGGTCGGTGGGGCGAGGCTGAGGTGCTCCGGGCCAGCACTCACCAATGCCAGCAGAGGCAGACACAGTCACACAGTAGTTGTCAGAAGAGGAGCAGATGGTGGGCTTCAGACAGTAGAGATTGCTCTTCTGGTTGACGCAGGAGAAGCACACCAGAGAGTGCACTGCAGAAGGAGGGACACTGGGTGATACCTGCCTCCTGCCGGAGGCGGCCTCCAGTGTGCCTCCCAGGCCTGCCCTCCGTACCTAACCAGCTGTGGGCATTTACTGAGCAACAATTACACGCCAGGCTCTGGGCTGGGTACCAAGGCCAGACCATGACAAATAATAGCAGACCCTGGCCCTAGTGAGCTCAAGTGACCCCCAAACACGGGGTGACAACAGTGTGGCCTGGCCAGTGTTGAGGCTTCCTAACACTGGGGAAGAGGAGCCAGAAGGTCCCACAGAGGCTGGCCTGGAAGGACTACTGAATGAACGCCCAGGGGTCAGGGGAGAGGGAGCCAGAGGAGGGCATGGTCTGTGAGAAGGTCCGGGACACAGGGCATCGCACCTGGCTCCAGACCCAGAAGGGCAGCCAACAGCACCGGCAAGAAGACCCTCATGCTGGAGGGGACAGATGGCCGTCCACAGGCACTCAAAGCCAAAGACACCTGTCCTGCTGGGAGAGATGCACCGTGTTAGAGGGCAGCCCAGGTGAGGGATATCATCAAGACTTTTGGAAACCCACAGAAACAGAGGCCCAGTGCTGAGGTGGGGAAATGGTGGTCAACAATACAAGCCAATCAGCACCCTGCTTTCCTAGGGTCAGCTGGGTCCTTGAGTCTCCACTCCCCTGAGGGTAGACCCGGGGCTGGGAAGGGCTCAGGGAGGTGGCCACCTGTGGCCAGGCTGACACACAGTGAGGCTCTGGCAGAGCAGGGGGCCTCCTCTGGGCTGCTGTCCTGCACTGGGAGTCCTCTCTTGGGCAGGGGTCAGTGGCACTGGGTGGAGAAGGAACTGGGTTTTGATTTTCTGGAGAACTGCAGAGGAGTCAGGTACTCAGACCAGCCCTGGTCGGGGAGAGGCCACCCAGAGGCCCCGGGATAAAGGGGTGCAGGTCTTCGCAGGAGACTCTGGACGGGAAAGCTGCAGGCCGGGTTTGTGCAAATGGGCCCCAGGCCTCTCCCATCCAGCTTGAACCTCTCCTGACACCTTGAGAGTCTGGAACAGGAGTCCCAGATGGCCAATGTCAGTGCCAAGCTCAGCCACGTCTGCTCTTGCCACTAGGCAGCCCAGGCAGGAAGAAGTTCTTCCTCCATAAAGTGAGGCTGTGGTATGGAGGAACCCTGAGCTGTCTCCAAGGAAGCTCTGGCATGCACAGGGACAAACAGGTCCAGCAGGCATCCCCACCCACCCACGGGGGACACCTGACCAAGCAAGCCCCGCAGGGATGAGTAAAGGCATCCACTGGGGTGGACGGCAACCAGGAGACCGGAAAAAACCTAAGTTTCTGAATGGGCAAAGGAAAGGCAGCCAGAGGGACCCAGGCCCAGCTCCCCTGTCCCTGGAAAAGCCAGGAATCTAGTGGTAGTCAGCCCAGCATGGGAGTCACGAACCGGTCCGGCCTCCAGGGACCAGGTGGCCCACCTCAGGAGGCACCTCCTTCGCATGCATAATCTAGGTCAAAACAAAGCCATCCGCTCCCCCTCCCTAGGGCGGGTTCCAGCCCCCAGGTAATCAACCCCCCAGGTAGTTAGTTCTCCCCCTTCCGCCGGGGGCTCTCCCCAGGTTCCCGGCGTCCTCCTCCAGTCTGGCAGGCTGTCCCTGCCCAGACCCCACGCGGGAAGTCCGGCTGCCTGGAGTTGGGTGATGGGCCCCGCGTCCACTGGGAGAGGGCCGGGCAGCGGTCTTCGCCCGCTCTGCCCAGATGTTCGGAAACATTCGGGGACGGCTGGGAGATGGGAGGAAGGGCTCCCCCTGCGGAAGGCCCGCCGGCAGCCCCCGACTCCCAGCTTCCTCGACCCTCCCTGCGCCTCTGCGTGCGCTCCTC